CCCTCGTGGTACTTGCTGGACCGGACTGGGACTGACTGGACCTTACCGCTGACTGAGTGGGGACTCACTGCTAACCTACCGGAGTCGTACTGCAATTGCACTGCAGTTTAGTCCACCACTTGACTCACCACTTGCCCACTTGCCCACTTGCTGACCTTCTAGAAGGACTACAGCTAAGACTTCTGGAACTCGCTAAGACTTCTATTCTACAGATCTACAGATCGAACCCCTGCTACTTACGGACCTATGACAGCCTACCAACGGTTTACGAATACACAGGTCACATGTTCAACTCTCGGGGTCTACACAGGTACTGTACATCGGTAGGGTGAGGTCTAGGGATCGAGCCCCGGAATCTGCATCTGCTACTGCAAAAGGTGAAAACCGTTTCAGATTGAAGGAAAGCCGCAGAGACAAAGAATTCTTATGTATGGTGGAAGGACGAGCACAACTCGCAAGATGCTAAGAGAGGACCAAGAAACCTCACGATTAATGGAGTAGTCCTGATACAGACAACAGTGTCCTATGCTGAGCAACAAGGGTATTAGGCGGGAACTTTAGAGAGGAAGGAGAGTCAGATTTCTGGCTGGAGGCAGGTCCTACCACTTTCTCTCGCTTCGAATAGGTCTATTTGACAGGCCCAAGAAGGGAACCTGAGAGGAGCAAGTTGTTAGGGCAAGCTGACAGTCAATCCTCCCTTAAGGGAGCAATCAAAGCTGGTCAGGGGTCCTTCAGCCATATGGAAGGAAGCGTGAGCGTGTTTCATGATGTAATATTTTATTCTGACTTGACGGGGGAATAGGAACCGGACTGATGCTCCCCAGAATGGAAAAGGAGCCAGGCCCATAAGGACCTGTTTTTGTTTAAAAAAAAAATAATAATAAAAAATCGTGAGAACGGTCCGTTTACAAGGAAAATGAGCAATAGCGAGATGACAACGTCCAGAATGCACAATCACATTGAAGGCCAGATAGTATCACAGTGTCCGGAAAGCAGAAATGCACCAATATAACACCAATGAAGAATCGTAACACTGAAAACCAATGTCAATGAGAGCTTGCTCTCGCCACCACCAACATGAGTGTCCAGGCCCTATCTCCCTACTTGGCACTCGGCGCCCAGCCTACTTCCTACACAGCTACAGTCTGCCTACTAATTGACAATGCAACTGTTGACGTCAGCAGCTCACGAAGTACTTGAAGATGTCGCCCAATGCAGACCATCGCCAATACCAGGCATGTGCCCTCACATCATCATCATCATCATCATCATCCTTCTCTCTCTCCCTCTTCTTACACCCACGTCTTCCCTCAGTACACCCGAAGACCACCCCTGCGTCTCATTGTACAACCAAGCCCTCATCCAGTTATGGAGGCTGGACTATGGCACTGCCCTCAGCAGCGCCCTGCTTCCACACACGACCGCGCGTGCGCAGCACCTTGCTCCAGCGCTAGCAGCCAGCACGCGAGCGAAAGCTCCAGCAGCGCTGCCGCCAGCCAGCAAGTGCCTGAATGCCGCTCCAGTCAGCGAGCTCTTTCCTATATGGAAAGAGCCTGCCTGCCTTCGCGGCCTGGCTGGCCTGGGCCTGAGCCCAGAAGCTTCCGGTAGGCCCTAGGATGCTGTGCCTCTGTTGCAGCTACTGGGCCTCATTCGGTTGGGCCTCCCAACTGTCTGTGTATGAGCCTCCGATTCTCGTCCAGGGCCTGCATCATTTTGGAAAGGCCTGGAAGGCCGTGGAATGTCTCGCTGCTCGGCCTGTGTTTCCTTCAACCAACTGGCGCGACAAAACTGCCTGGACCCCAAATACGACATTGACAGCTTAGGGCCTCTTGTGATTTGTTAGGCTCGCCTTCACTTAGGGCGGCACATCTGCAGCAAGAGGCCCCTTAGGCCGAGACATCCATTAAAATTGGAACGGCAGATACAGAGAAAGAAGATTAGCATGGCCCCTGGGCAAGGATGACAAGCATAAATCCAGAAATGGTCCATTTTTTTGGGATTGAAGAAAAGAGGCCATTAGGCAGAGGTAGAGAAAAAAAGAACATAACCAATCGCAACGGAGAACAAGTCATGAAGCATTCAATGAAGTACGAGACTCAGCGGCGAGGAACCTGAGCTGAGACGAAGGTAGAGAAGCAATCAAGAGGAGGAGGATAGTTTAATTAATTCATAACTCAAAGTTACAATTGATCCTTCTCTTCGATTTCCCCTTCTCTTTCGGACCTTCTTCCTACAACTCGCCACCTCAGCATGCACCTTCATCCTGACCATACTGATGAAGTCGTCTTGCAACTGTCTACCCAGGCGCCCACCCTCCAGCAACCAAGCTCACCTATGGAGGCCGACAACCTTGCCACCGTCAATCCTCAAGTGCAGACCACTACTTCGGTACCGCCAGCATCAACAGATAAGTCAAGATAAGCTTTCCTCACTCTTCCTCTGCCTCCTTACAAGTCCTGATCACCCTCTTCCTCGCCCAACCTCTATCCTACAGCTCCGATGCTGCCCCCTTCCTAGCTATGGCTAGTGTATCTCTCTTCTCTGTTGGCTGGCGCTGTCTACTTCACGGGTGCCAGATGCCCTCCCTCCTCAAGTGCTGAATGGAGTATTGCTCCATCCTGAGACTTCCCAATCGGGATGGCCCAGATTTGCTGTTGGCCAATGTGTGCCTGGACCGTAGGCCCTACAGGAATAGTACAGACAGCCTTTGATTGTGCATCAGATCTGTGGCCATAGTTGACTTCTGAGAAATCTCTGATTCCTCATCTATTTTTCCCGATCTGGGCCCGAGTCCTGATTTTCCTTAAGTCAACTACCACCTCGTGGGGGTACAGGCTGCTACGTTTGACCCATGACCCTGTACTGTTGACCAAAGGACTTTTCTGAGGTCCTTCTGGGGCAGGAGATGCAAGTTTTGATCCCTGAATCTGGACTTCGACCAAAATTTCGACCCTGGACTGTGTAGGTGCAGATTTTGAACTGAGTTCTTTGCACAATGTTCAAACGTACAAATAAGTGCCTCTTCAGTCAACAGAAAGTTGAAGCAACTGACATGAGACAACTCACTTGAGAGCTCACCCGTGCAGAAAGAGAGGCCAGGGCTGACGGAGAGAACCTTATGTACCTCTGACTACCAAAGACTGCAGCACTGACGTCAAATCCACTCCCGACCTTGCCCTGCACGCAAGCAATCATGGCAAACTAGTGTAAGTTTATTCCCTCCTTGGACATGATAGAACAGGATATGGTTACACAAACCATAACAAAGTTTCTTCTTCTTCTTCTTCTTCTTCTTCTTCTTCTTCTTCTTCTTCTTCTTCTTGTCCTCCTCCTCCTCTTCTTCCTCCTCTCCTTCTCTTCCGTCCCTCACTCCTCATTCCCCGCCTGTCCTCCTCCTCCTGCTGCTCCGCATGTTCCTCCTGCTTTTCCTCCTCTCCTCCTTCCTCCCCTTTAGTTGCCAGTGCTGCCAGCATGCATGGGCCTTACCAACGGGCCTTCCCCACTTCCTTTTTGTCATTATCCTTCTCCTTACTACTAGTTTGTTCCTCAAGCCACAGGTGCTTCAGCCCTCCTTCAGCTTTAAGACGTCCAAAAGTAGCAAAACAGATCCCTAGCAAATTCTGTACAAAGTACTACAAACGAAATCCTCACCTGAGCTGCACAATGGGCCGCCTGAGCTATCTTGTGAATCAGATCCAGCTGTTCATTGTCTTTATCCATGCACAAGTCTTGGGTGTCATGGAGTTCAAGATAGCTTTCAGCTGCTGGTTCTTTGTTGCATCCTTGTCGTTGTGATGTGTTTGCCACAATAGGTGTGAATGTGTGACTCCCTTCCTGTTCCCCTTTTACTGCATGCCTTCCCTCCCCAGGGGCTGCGACCTTGTTCACTGACAAATCAACAGCGTTTAGCAGCTGCAGGATGCTCGTGACTACTGCTGTTACCATTGCTGCAGAGGAGCCGAGACCTGTCTTCTTGATGTCGGGTGCTAGTGGCATTGCACCTGCCGCCGAGTTCATGGTACTACTGGCTCTCTTGCTCACGGAAGCAAACCTTGGCATTGTAACAGGTGGGGGTGACAAGGTACACCCATCCACTATTGACACCTTTGCTTGGAATAACCAGCACACACACATAAACACATAAACACATAAACACATAAACACATAAACAAACACACACACACACACACACACACACACACACACACACACACACACACACACACACACAAGCGTTATTTTCTGTTTCTTTTCTTCCCTTGCCTTCTTTTCTTCTTCCAATTCTAGTCTTTCTTTTATGTTCCCCATTTTGTGCGTTCTGTGGTCTTTTCCTGTGCTTCTCTTGTGTGTCTAAGTGATTGCTTGGAGTGCCTGCAACACGACTATTAGGGGGCTGCTGTGTTCGGGATGCCTGTGCGCCTGTGTGCCATGGGTGATCACAGACTTTCGTCCAAGTGACTCCCTCGCTCCCATGTGGTGTGAACCTGCAGCCTGTTCAGTAAACGACTTGTGGTGTGAATAGGTTGGTGTGAATAGGTTGGTGTGAATAGGTGATGATCTGATTTGGTCCGAGTTGGATGAATGGACTGCCCTGTCCGTGCTGCTCTGCTGCCTGGCTGACCATCTGCTTGCCTTATCTTCCCATGCTGCTTGCCTGTTTTCTTTGTAGTTTTGCTGTCATGCTTCCTTTCTGACTTGCTGCATTGCTGCCTCAACTACTCATCATGCCGCCCCACTGCTTGCCTTGTCGTTTGGCTGCCTTGTGCGCCGCTGCTATGCTGGCTTGCTGCCTTGTTGCTTGCTGTGGTGGTTCCTCACTTTCCCACTGCCTTGTGCCCAGCTGCCTTGCTGCCTCACTGCCTTCTTGGCTTGCTGCCGTGTTGCCCGCTGCTCATCGGGTCGCACTGTATGCTTCGTTGCGAGTGCCTCAAGTCCTTGCTGCTTCACTGCCTTCTCACCTCAATGCCTTGTGCTTTGCTGCCTTGTTGCCTCACTGCCATCTTGCCTTGCTGCCCTGTTGCCCGCTGCTCTTTGGGTCGCACTGCTTCTTGCCTTGTCAATTGGCTGCCTTGTCGATTCTGTCATCTTGCCTTTGCTGTCTTGCTGCCTTGTTGCCTCCCTGCCTAGCTGCCTCGTCCCCTCGCTCCCTTGCTGCCTTGTCACCTGTCGCTCATAGTACAGCCCGGCTGCTTGTCTTGTTGTTTGGCTGCCCGCCCAACCCCCCCGTGCCCTCCAGCCTATGTGACTTGCTGCTGCTTGTTGCCTCACCCTTGCCTTGCTGCTTGAGATGTCACCTGCTGCTTGTCCTTACAACAGGGGTTAAAGAAGATCATGACTCAAAACAGCAATACGGCGATTCCGCAGACTGTCAAGGTTGCAGCCTCCCGATGAGTCGGTGCAAGTGTGACGAAAGTTTGCCCCTATCCTTCACGTTCCTTTTCTTCGTTCTTCGTGTTTTATCAGTCTTGTACTTGTTTGTCCCGTCTTCCACTCTAGAGTTGCGCATCAGATGCATTTCTGTCCACTGAGAGACTCAGTGTGCGCGAATTGCCTTCAAGTCTTTGTGCACGGTTTTCTCCTCGGAGGTGGCCGTTTGAGGTACAGCTGTGTTGTACTGGAGCTATGTTACATTGTCTTCACAGATAGCATCACCGACCCACGTAAAATCAACAACCAAACAAGGGAAAGAATGGTGTCTCAAGAGACCGGTGGGCAAATGGATGTCGGCACGCCAGTATTAACACAAGAGCAAGCAGTGCCTGAGCCGGCATCGGAGTACCTGACTGCAATCGGACTTGTCTTCTTCGATACTCAGCGTGCATGCAAACAGATGACGATCAAGTTGGCGACTTGCGCCCTCACAAAGCTCAAAGATAACGAAGCCAAGAACACGGTTCAGATTCAACTTGTGTCGACCGGCAATGTCTGATCGCTGTACTCTTAGCAACTTGTTCGCACACACACCCTGGATCTCCCTGGATATCCCTCACACATATACACAGCACACTCATACACACACACACGCACACACACCTACTAACTCTCTATCCCTAAGCTATGGCAGCTACGGCTGCCTTCACTACCACTAACACACAAGCGGCTATGGCCGCGTCTTCCTCCTCAAGCCCACTTCTCCTACGGGCACCTGCAGACCTCCACACACAAGACGCTCAGGCAGCGCTCCGCACGACTCACAGGCAGAATCAATGAATGGCTTGACGCTGCATCTTTATTTATACTTTGGATTGTCCAAGGTCTGCCCTTGGATCCTGGGCCCGGGGTGCACACAGTCCCACATGGTACTTGCTGACTTGACAAGGTGCGACCTGGGACTGGTACTGCTGACTGCATCCCCACACTACGAAAGGCCACTTCCGGATCTTCCGGAATGTTGTGGATTTGGCCCTTCAGAACTGTAGCAGCTACGACCTTGACCTTTCGGTACTGTAGAAGCTGCAACTTCTACCACTGCTAAGACTTCTAATCTAAAGACCTACTGTTTGAGACCACCCTTCCTACGGCAAACAAACAGGCGACTTTCAAGACACAGGTCGCGGGTTCAAGCACATACGGGTCAACTGGTACTGTACACGGGTAAGGGTGAGGTCTGGAGATCGAGCCCTGGGAACTGCTTCTGCTACCGAGAGGTGAAAACCGTTTCACTCCCACCGGCCTAAATTTGAGGTCCTCCGAGAATACTTTAATGCAAGGCAGGACCTTTACCTTTCCTTTCTTTATCGTAGGCGTGTACTATGTCGGGAGCGGTCTCTAGAAGCTCTGTTCTTGTAAACCAGCGATCGTCCTCGGGTTCTTGATAGGCGAATCTGACTTCGTATTGTTTCTGGGGACGAACCCTACCTCCAGTTCTGAACACATCCTCTCCCACAATATGATCTATATAATATGCGTCATCCATGTCCGGCGGAACCAGCGCGATGGGAATTGCTGACTGGTGACGCAAGGCAACAACTTTGATGCGTGGAAGACTGGGTATGTGTGTAGGTGTGCTGGCATCTCAATCGTGTAAGATGGTCCGTCCTCTCCGCCTTTCACTTCTAGGACAGGCCACGGTCCCCTGTACGCGGGTAACAGCTTTTGTCAGATGTTCTCTTATGGGGCGAACTCCTTGGACTTGACCCAGACTAAATCTCCTACCTCGAACTGCGATGGGCGGCGATGCTTATTAGCTTGCTGTATCATCTTGTGCTGCGCCTTCCTCTGATTCTCAGCCACTCTTGTGATTTCTCTCTCATGCTGCAGAGCAAACTCTCTAGTTTCGGGTGGTAGTCGCTGTATCTGGTCACGATGTCAGGCGGCCGCAGACCAGTCGGCCATCCGAAACACAAAGAATTGGGCCTTGGGTTAAATGCCTAGGGAAGAATCAACCGGCCTTTTCATCGATCATAAAAACTGACCCTTGAAATCAACATGATGAGCAGCCGCGTCTACCGCGCCTAACACCTACCATTTTCATTCGTTCCGAGGTTGTTCCCAAAGCGGCCGGCCGTGCAACCGGGGTATGGTATTAGGCCTCGGTGCGCTGCTTTTACACTGGACCGTTGACGAGGAAATGAGCCCTCAATTTTCGCTAATTTTAATGATCAAATTAAAATTTGAGAAAAAGAATTAAAGATAATAAAAGGGAAGAAAATAAAGGAATAAATGTTATTTAATTAAATTTCATCGGAATCTATCCTTGATAACATTGTTCCCGGTTTTCATTAATGAAACGGTATTCACCAGTTCGCAGTAGCTGATGCAGATCCCAGGGCTCGATCCCTAGCCCCCATCTTACCTATGTACAGTACCTGTGTCGACCTGTAGAGTTGAACCCGCGACCTGTGTATTAGTAGCAGTTGGTAGGTTGTTGTAGGGTCCATAGGTAGCATGGGTTCGATCTGTAGACCTGTCGGATAGGAGTCCCAGTCAGGTCTAGAGATCGTAGCTGTGGTCTTCTCGAAGAGGCAGGGTCGTAGCTGCTACAGTCCAGAAGGGTCAAAGTCGTAGCTGCTACAGTACCGAAAGGCCAAGTCCACGGCCTTCCGGAAGGTCTGAGTAGTGGCCTTTCGGAGTGTCCCACACTTAGGCTAGGGCAAGTGGGCAAGTGGCGAGGCAAGTGGTGGAGTCTGCCCGTGCTGAGTCAGCAGTCCCAGTCCTAGGCAGTCCTGGTCCAGTCAAGCAAGTACCACATGGGACTGTGTGCACTTCGGGCCTGGGGAAGGGGCCAGACCAACGGACTGCAGAAGTATAAATCAAGAGGCAGCGCCCAACCATTCATTGATTCCTGCGTGAGCCATGAGGAAGCGCTGCCACAGCGACTTGTGCGAGGTGGTCTGCAGTGAAGCCCGAAGACGAAGAGGGCAGAGAGACGAAGCTTAGCCATAGCGATAGGGTAGTGGCGGCCATAGCCGCCATAGCTGTAGTTAGTATTTAGTGTGTGATTGTGTGTGAGTGTTCAGAGAGACGCGTGTGGGATATCCAGGGTGATCCACTGTATGCGAACAGAGAGTTGTATGGGCGCTATATCGCCATAGCCATTGGAAGTGAACTCGTATATGGGTTGCCATATCTCTGAGTACTGTCGCCAGTTTGCTGCGCTACTGTTTGCATGCATGTAAAGTGTGAATGAAAGCAAGTCTGATTGCATTGGTATCGGAGCTGGTACCCGCTATTCCACGCGCTGCATTGTGTGTTGCAGGGAGTGATGCGCCATAGCGAATGGGCCGATGAAGAAGAAGTCCGCCATAGCGGATACCAAGGTTGAAGAAGCCGCCGCGCGCACCTGCAGAGAAGACCACGACGAAGCAGAAGACAGAGAGAGAGAGAGAGAGAGAGAGAGAGAGAGAGAGAGAGAGAGAGAGAG